ACATAGCCCGCATTGTGTGCTCCTTCAACATGAGGGATTAACGGTTGGTTTGGACGATTAGAATCAGTCATCTTGCACAAAGAAGAAGAGTATCCCCACGGTGGGCACTAAACTGTTGATGTTCATTGTCAATCAGGAAAATTTAGTGTGGAATATGTTTGGCTTTAGTGTTTGTAGGCATATAAAATTGCTTATAGGTCCCTTAACACGGCTCAACACGAACTAATGAACCATCAGGCGACGTATCTAAGCACGAACGTCAGTCCACAACACCGAAGCCAAGTGACACGCAACGAAGCAGATTAACAAGGCTACGAAGCTGACGAACCGCACGTGAACGACGGAATGAATCCACCCGCGTGCAGAATCAAACCAACGGTCTAGCAATGAGATATATCCTATATGATGAAATATATATATATGCAAGGATATATAAACTAACACAAGGGGTAAACAATGTGAACTAGATAGTGGATCATATAAATAATGAGCTAATGACAATGGCGATAAGAAATATAAACACAAGTATAAATAAACGCCAAAGCACACTCAAACACAAGATATGATCACGGAGTTCGGACCTTCCGTCCTACGTCTCCGCTCCCCACTCCCGGGGAGAAATCCACTAACACAATCCGGTTTGGAAGCCGGAACTTCTTCTACACACTCGGTTTTCTAGCTAACCGAAAACTCTACAACTCACACTCTTGCAATCACACTCTACACCCACTAAGTGTTGGACCTAGCCGTGTCTCCCTCAAGTGCTCGGTTACAACCTCTCCCTAGGCACGTCAACCGACGCCACTCCTCTTGGGACGATCCCCGACTCTCACCACACACTCCTCACTCGGTGTACAAGTGTATTACAAAGTGATCTCACAATTAAGCACAAATACAGTAAATGATTGTTCTCTCTAACAAGGTGAGAACTCAATTAGGCACAACTCTTAGCCACAAACCCACAACCCTAAATTATACTATGAATGTAAATACAATAAGCTCAAAAGGTTGTGTGTGAACAAAGAGATATAAATCAAAACTAAACTCAATGTAGTTCTAGCTTAATAACAATGATAATCAAATATATAAAAGAGCTAGAAATAGAGTTTAGAAAACTTCTTAATAGATCAAGAGTGGAAGGAGAAGAGTTGGATGCTCAAACACCAATAGATGATCTCCTCAAGCTCTTGTGAAATTGATTTCTCAAAAACAAACTCTCAAATGCTTAAAAGCTTTTTAAACAAACTTAAACCAAACATAAACCCTTGTTAAAACTTCATAAACCCTTGTTAAAACTTTCTTAAACTTGTTTTAAAACACTCATTTGGTTAGTTGGAGAGCTGAAGGCAATGGGGTATTTATACTCTCTCAAAACTCAGCCAAAACTCCCAAAACAAAAGACCAAAAACACCCCAGCAACGGTAACAAAAATAGCCGTTGGAAGTAGTCAGAACGAGCGATGGTCGACCGAAGAAATTCGCGGTCGAGCGACAGAAACGATCGGTCGACCGATGGAAATTTCGGTCGACCGCTATCCAGGTCAAACACGAGAAAAACACCAGCTGACTTATCCGGTCGACCGGTGCGGTCGACCGAAGGAAGCTCTCGGTCGACCGCGGCGGTCGACCGAATTCAGAAAAATGTAAAACTTTGGGGAATGATTGTAGACATGATAATAAACATGCTACAATGACTGGTTTCGAAAAAGGACTTCCCAAATGAAAAATATCATCATTTTACAAACTAGTCCAAAACATGAAAATATGAGATACTTGAATTTTGATGTTTTGACATAAACCAACTTTTGAAACTTTGTGAAATGTTTTTATAGACTTAGTAAAACATGTATAAACTGATATTGAAGTCTACAAACTAAGAATACAATATTTTCACAAATACAATAGAAAATGAAACCTATGAGTATGTATATGAAAATATATTTGTTTCATATCTAAGTAGATAAACCAAATCACAATAATAAATATGAAACATGTAATTTCATATTTATAAACATGAAAACCAAAACTTGTGTTGTATATATATGTGATGAGTATGTATATGAAAATATATTTGTTTCATATCTAAGTAGATAAACCAAATCACAATATGAAACATGTAATTTCATATTTATAAACATGAAAACTAAAACTTGTGTTGTATATATATGTGACTACATATATATACAAGGAAACCAATAAAATGCGTGTGTATAGATAATTGAGCTTAAGGTACTAAACACACATAATATAAATCCTAAACTACATTACCCAAGCAATCTTGATCTTCAATTAAGCTTGACTTGGTACACGTTGCGGATGAAGCTTGAACTTGATCTTTAACTTGAATTGTTGTATAGGCTTCAATCCGACATTCCGCCAACCTCCTTTGGATATCATCGTTGAAGCTCCATTCCATCCATCCTTCAACTACGTTGTTTGTCTACAATAAATAAGAAAACACAAATACTAGACAAACAACATTAGTGGTAAATTGTTTGTTAAACATCATCAAAACAAGAAGGCCAACAATCTCCCCCTTTTTGATGATGACAAACAATTTACAAAAAGGATATATGCATGAAAGGAAATGAACGTACAATGTATAATATATCATGCATATAAACAAGAAAGAATATACTCACAATATTTCTCCCCCTTTGACAACATCAAAAAGGGGACAAAAGAATTAAGAGAGCGAAAGCTCCCCCTATCAATAAGCACGGGTGAGTATCAAACATAAAAAGATATAGGGATTGCCCCCCCTATCAAAATGCCATATGGAATATATGAAATGAATATCATGGCAAACATATGTGAGCATGCATAAATAATATGCCAAAAATCACTCACATCCAAGAGATAATGAGAACACATAAGAATATGTCAATATGAAAATAGTGTCTCATTAACACAAAAAATATAAAAACCATATAAAAGAATAGATTTATGAAATCAAAAGAAGAGGAACATGAGAAACATGCAAAAAAGTTTTCAAATGAAAACAAATCCATCAAAAGAAATCATAAATCAAAGTTTATATCCAAAAACGATGTTTGATCAATGCGGAGCCGCCTTCGATTGGTATCGCCGCCTCAAGCCAGGAAGCATAAACAGCTGGGACGACATGGAGACTAAGTTCCTTACAAATTTCTTCGACGACGACACCGAGATCTCTATCGGATCGTTGCTCGACGAGAAGCAGAAAGACGGGGAGTTAGTCGACACCTTCGTCAAAAGGTTCAGGAACAAGGCGATGAATTGTCGGGACCCGATCACCGAGGAATTCATCCTCCAGACCTGCCACAACAACCTTTCGCTGGACGTGTTGGAAGCAATGGGCACAGCACCATCCAAGACATGGAAGGATCTGAAAGTCCGAGGAGAGCAAGCTGAGCGATTCCTCAGGAGAAAGAAGGCGGAGAGAGGCCAACCGGCAACAAATCCTCCGAAACAGAACTTCAACCAAAAAGGAAAAGGTAAAGCTCATGCTAATGCCGTTGATGCTAACCAAACTTTTCAATTGCAACCTCAGCAACAACAGCAGCAACGAGCGCCACAACAATCCCAGCCGCATTGGCAGCAACAGCCTCAGAAACAAAAGTCTTCGGAGCCGAGGTTTCCCAAAGTCTACTCCTTCAAGGATGATGAAGTTCTCGGCATCTTCAAATACTTATTGGAGAACAACAAAATCCAGCTGCCGGCGATCGTGGATCAAGAGGGAGCCAGCAAGGTGACGGATCCA